TAAGACTTTTTATCAACGTGACTGCTAATCGACGTCCATAAAATGTGTGAAAGTAGGAATACAAGGTCAATGGTCTTTTTATGGCATGAGTGCATTTTATAGCATATCAAATGAAATTTAATGAAAAATGTCTTTATTTCAGAGGCGAAGTTAGGACTTGTAAGTCTACCACTTAACCTCTATTAAGCGTGACTTGTTAAAGGAATCTTGTTATTGATGTTCCATGTAAATGATGCAATTGAATAAAGATATGACTTATAATAGAACGAACAAGTTGAATTACACTGTGCAACCCAGAAAACTGTATATAAATGTAAAATACATCCGAAGGGGATTGGTTTCGATTGAACCTGTCACAGAAAGGAATGACGAAAACAACAATAGTGTTCATACTTTTATTATTGGTTCACTGGAGTTCGAAGAAAGACATTTATATTGGTTCCAAGGTTTTGCGAATATACGTTAACTCTTTAACTTGATTTGAGATAATGCTTTTTTTCTTATACAGGGTGTTTTTTTACGCAACCCAAATAATTGCAACTACCTAGAGATACATTTGACAACAAAACGAGCTTTGGTATGCTCAGTTTTCCTTTACTTCATTGCCGATCGCTAATATGCATCGTTAGTGTTATTGATAATTGTAGGCATAATATGATTTTTCCGATTGCTCAAATAAAGCATGCGAAAACGCCAAGTTGATATTTATTCATAATAAATTCCCAATACCGCTAAATCACATATTATCTCGGTAATAATGCACAAGCTGATTGGCTTAAAAAACAGAATACAAGAATACAAAAATGTCAGCTTGTTTTCAGTGTCTTATGGTACTTTTAATTTGGGTTGCGTAAAAAGTCCCTGTACACACTTTTATTCACATGTATTGATTATGTTTACTCGTTACAGTTCCTTTAAGTACTAGACTCTATTATTTTCTCTCACACGTGGTCTTTTAGTTACATATAATTTTAAAATTTTACCATGGTATATTTCGGACGCCCTTTAAAAATATTTTGGTCAGTAATGCAGTTATGCAGGATAGACAACCAACACAAGTAGATTTCTAATCCCATTAAAAAATCTGAAGCTTGTTTTTCATGTCTAGTTCATGTTGGTGACACTGAGCTCTATTATCGAAGAAATTTGGTTCATATTGCTTTAGAGTTTACCTGATAATTTGTGCTTTACTTTTTGGCTATTTATACAAATATACATTTTTGGTTAACGTAAGCATTATCATTGAATTCGTTCGTATACAGATTGGACGTAATTCCATGGAAGCTTTGAAAATTTTAAATTATACTGCACAAAATCTAACACCATGTTATTGGAATTTACTGTAATACTAAAGAACAAACTTACATTATTTTTTTATTTAAAAAAATAGGTCTACCTATGATGATTTTAATCGATACAAACGATTCAAAATCTACATAAATTATAACACCGCGACAAAATTATTTCAGACTCCATTCAAACAAACATCTAGAAATAAATGGACGCTTCTCTCATCCTTCCTAAACAATTATATTGCCCTTTAAAAGAGACTCTAAGGGTAATAAAGTTTGAAAGTGAATTAAGCAAAAGCCGGCAAACAAAGGACATGCCAGCGTCAAAAATGATAAACGATCCTTTCCCTCCGGACCACTTTGTTCTAAACAGGGGGTAAACAAAGATACATTATGAATAGTGGAATTCTTGAATTTCTAATAAAAATATCATCTTGTTGCTATTACTTTCCTCGTTGACATCTTTTATACAGGAGTCACTAAAATAGACCATGATCAGGGTAAAAGTAGTCTTAGAAAGGGATAAGTTTTATATAAATAAAACATTAAACCCAAAAGCTTATGTCGCAAGTCAACCTGTTAACTTAAGATACATAAATTTCCGCAGGAATATTTTTACATGTAGTTTAGCTTTTTGCAGTTCTTGAAGCGTTTTGAATTTCAGTTTGCAAGGGACTTGTGTGATGTTTACAAAGTTCTAAGCTACTTCCCTAATTTACTTTGGAGGTGCAAGCTATACTTTCAACCACTGCATCGGTTATACAATCAAAGAAACTTCTGCGCTTATTTATTTTACCAAACGCCACTAATCTTAATGGGACAAAATTTTCTTTACATTTACAACAGATGAACCATATCCTGCGAAGTGATAATTTACTTCCCGGTAGATGAAAAATGCATACGACAGCAGACAATGTCTACTGCAAGCTCATTAACTTTGGATACAATGAACTAACAAGACCTATTTTGCCGTATAGCTTAATATCCAAACAATGAATAAAATAAAAAACTGACAATGGTGCAGTTGAATTATGGGATTCAATTTTATTTTCATAAAAATCAACCTGGCGTGTTTTCTCCTATTTTATGTAGAATCCAATCGATAAACGTTTACAAATTAAAAGTTTATATTACTTGTTGTCGTCATAGAGTAAAAGTTAAATACTAGTCTTAGTTAGGTTAATGAAAGAGGTTATGTATTGTAATATGGTCCGCAAAATAAGAAAATTATATCGAACTACGTATTATTTTATCTTTATATGACTATACGCGTTTATCCGTTAATTCGACGAGTTCCTCTATTGCTAACACAATACCAGTGATGCTTTGTAGGGTTGAAAGTAGAAATTTGACTCAATCTATCATCTGATTATCTAATGTTTGTTATTTGTAGTAGTAAATTGAGTTACAAGTTGTTAATATTACCCTCTTAAGTATTGGTTAACATGAATATTTGGCAGTGTTTGGAACATAGACGTTGACCGAGTGATATAATTATAATATACAAGTTAAATAAAACTTACATACACATTTTATGGCAAGGCCTAATCGTGTAACGGAAAAGATCTATGATTGCTCGGTAAGAAAGATTTAGTTTAATCTCGAAGTCACTATACTTTTGTTAACTAACCTTAATAAACCATGAGGTTACACATTATTACACTAGTGATGATGTGCTTCAATTACAATTAAACATTTGCTTTTTGAACTCGAACCTAAAGTTTTAATAATTCAAGTGGATATCATTTGAGTAACTAAGTACTAAGAGCATGTTGTTAGTGCATGCCATGAAATGTTTCAACTTATTTTGTGTGGGGTAAATTGAAAGAGGCAACTAAGGCCGAGCTAGCTGCCTAGTGGGTACCTACTCGAGTACACTTGTCGGTGCTTGTTGCAACCGTATACCTGCAATACAAATTAAGTCAATTGTTTCTTATAAAAAGTTTTAAATAATAATTTCGTTATTGGTAGAATTTTAGCATAATTGATTTTGAAGGCAATTTGAATTTGGTTACTAATCTATGAATCTCCAGGCTTCTTTTAGCGAATTTCACATATAGGGAATAAGCTATTACCGTAGGTCTCATGGTAAGACCTAGACCCGGGACCGATTTACTTTTTCGTTTTGAGGTCCCCAGAGGCCAAAAACACCATCCGTTCAAATTCATATATATATATATATATATATATATATATATATATATATTTATATATGTGTCCGTTAGCGCGATAACTCGAGCAAAATTGATCCGATTTTGATGAAATTTGGTACAAACATGTAAACCTACATTTATTCGAACGAGTTTGCGAACCAGCATAATCGGACCATGGGATCAGGGGTTTATGGGGGGTTTTATGGGGTAAAAATGGGTTTTTCTCAATTTTGACCCTAAAAACTTTAAATTTCTAAATTTCTCTCTAGACCATTTTGAAGAGCTTAAAAAACAAATAACTTAGTATATTGAAGTTTTTTTAAATGTTCATTGACTACGGAGAAAATTAAAAAAATTGTAAATTAAAAATTCCTATGTTATTCTTATGGAGAATAAATAAACTGTTCTAGTTTGCTTGTTTATGGATATATTTTAATCAAATTTAGTAATTTGGTTTATTTCATACTAAGGTATCAAAAAAACACACCGAAAATTTATAGGGAATATTTTAGTAGAAATCAAGCCGGGTAAATGGAAATTCGCTTAGTATGCAGGTTTGCTGCTACGGGGGTATTTTTTATTTTTTAATGGTGATTTTCCCATGATACCCACCCATAAAATAACGAAAAATTGGATTTTTACAAAAAACTTCTCGAACGAGTAGTAGTACTAGGAATAGTACAGTAATAGTAATAGTAGTAGTAATAGTACAACCCCCAATGCTGTTAGCTTGCTGATTCAGTTTCAATATCATTATGTATATTATGTAGTTATCAGTTTGTAACAGTTTTTAAGTGCATTTAATATGTTTATGTAATATATTTCTGGAAATAGGGATGATAGATATGACATTGGAATGACATCAATTTCATCCAATTTATGATTCATCAAAAATAAAATATATTACCTATATTAGCTTTAAATCCAATTGTCCAGCTATAGTAGTCTTGATTAAGCCTACTAAAACAAAGGCATTCCTGCAGTTTATTACTTCATCATAAATACAGTACATAAATCGCTAATAGTATTAATGGTAAATTATGGCTCAACATCATAAGTTGTACTTCCATTAGACTTTATACACGTTGTTAACAATCTTGCACAGCATAAATATATGTAGCCACTGCAAGGCTATAACCTCTTTACAACATGTCACTTGCAGCCATAATCTATCTATTAGTCATTAACAACCTCATGAAATTGTGTTAATGCAACACGGGTTAGCAACAATAGTGGCCATAATACTTCAGTATTATTCACTTGCGTATAATAATGTATACAAACGCTGGAATACACTTCAATTAATTAAAGTGAAAGTGCATAAAAGTACGTCAAATGACACTTGAAACATATATTTTCACTCATACTGTTGCGGAAAATACGTATAAAAGGTGGTATGTGGTAATCGATTTCGATTGGACCTCCAATTATCATCCGGACCAATAGCCATGAAGAAGTTATTTATCTCTTTTCAGCTCTTATGTATACAATTTTGCTCTGCATTTAGGAACAAGAAAGTTTGAGTGTGAAATAACTGAAATGTTTATTGTTTCAGATGCCCAGTTCTCAAATCTCCATTGAGAGTACAGCCTGTGTCGCCTCCCAACTCCGTATCGGTCGACTCGTCGCCCAAAATCGGTAAGCTTTGGATTTTGTTACGCTGTTGTGTTGTAAGTTTAGTTTTAACAACTTCGTGAAATAGGTTAATTCAAATATTTCACATATTTAAAGCAACAATTAATTGGCTTTAACTTTGATTTGGTTTTTTTTTACCACCGAAATCGTGTAAAAAAGTGTCGAGCGTTTTTATTTTTTTTTATAGACACTTACTAAAAATTCAATGTTTTGGAACGGTGAATAACTGAACATAAACTCAAACTAATACTTGCTGTTTTTTCAATTATTAAATGTGAAATATTTGAGATGATCACGTTTTATCCATCAACTATTAATATCATCACAAGAATAAAGCATCGCCTAATCAAATGGACGTAATAAATGCGAGGTCTATAAATGCTTTGACAACTTGACCGTAGATTTGGATAAAATTAAAACTTTTATGAGTTTAATATTGGACGAGTTTCGTTCTGACATTTTCAGCTTTGAAGCTGGTTGTAGATTTCAACAAAGCTGCTGGTTATAGCAATTGCATTGACTCTAACCGGGAAAATGAATTTTAGTATTCAAAATTTATCACGTTAAATGTGTTGATCCATCGAACTACGTCATTAGTTCAATGTCGGACGGTTTGCTCTTGCTGTGAAGTAACATCCTCAGTGATTAGGCGGAGTGTTATCGTTTTCTGTATAGTCTTGTCAAGACTTCTGATCAATTTTCGTAACTGCAGCGAAAACGGCCAATTTTACCAAGGAAGTAAAAGATTCAGCTGGAGTCGAGGACATGATATGAACATTGGCGGTCTTTAAAGTTCGCCGTGGGTTTGGCGGAAGAAAGTATTCCTGATTAATCAAATGTTATTGCATGGTTATAATTTCAAAAGGAGTAGCCTTATTGTGTTTATTTTCGTGCCAAACTATATGTTCCATTCCACGAACATCTACATCTACCTGTTCGACATTTAGGCCGATTTGAGGAATCTCAGTGTATTATTATGTTAGTGGAATGATAAGTGTTGCTTCTAAATGACGGCGACAGTAGTTTGTATACAATGACAAAACAAGATATAAAAAATATTTGCAGCTATTTTATAAAGGTAAACAATGAATAAAATTATTCTACTGTGATTTATTAGCTTGGTGCTAATGGTGCTATAATGGTGCAGTATGACGAAAAATATTGTCCATCATACTGACCAAAAGTGCCTTATCGACGCTCGCTCATTTCTCGTTCTTGGCTTCGCCTTGGTCGTTAAATTTAAGTTAGTGTGAAGAGTCAAGAGAAGGAAATGTACTATTTTCACTGTTAGGACTAAACGTTAGGGATTGAATGTTATAAGACCGTGAGGTTGAAAAAAAAAAAGGTTCTGACACCGTTCGCGAGAGCTTACGTATGATGTTTGATGTTTGTTCATGTTTCATGTTTGTGTTGTTGTTGTTTCATGTAGTCCCCTAATATTACCCCATGTCTATTTATTTTTGTCTACGGGATTGATACAACTATTATAACATACTTTTCGTACATTTAGTCTCTATCAATCCCCTATCCATTATTATATGACTAGTTTCGGAACATTATTGCTCTACTTCCAATGTCAATTTCTTAAGCTGGTGGTTATTTACAAATTTAAAAAAATATCGTAACTCTTAGCAGGTCAAATTTAACGATCAAGTCCAGACACCGGACCTTATTTAATCCAATTATGGCGTTTCTAATTCTAGACTTAGGGGGTTTGACAAGTTTGGTGATCTTATGAGATTTGAAAATGGAGCAATAATACTCCGAAACTAATAAAACTTATTATTATTAGGGTTAATGATGTAAAAAGGTATGTAACCTATATTATATAAATTTGAACTTTCAAAAATCTAGGATCCATCTACACATATTTTAATATGATGCAACTATAAACGTATGGATGATCTTACGCCCGTAGTTTTCATTCATATCCCTTTAGGCTACAGGATACAACTAAAATAATGCATAACAGTTGAGCTTAATTTAAAAAATACTTTTAGCTTTTGTGGGTAGAAACCGGGTTAAATGGATGAACTGATTCACCAAACAAACGTTTAGAGCACACTTAGTTTCTGTTGACATTCGATTAGCTATACACCGCAGAGCGAAGTAGCGGCTTTGGGTTAACTTTACTATGAATGGTAAAGCAACTTCGTCTCAATAGTTCATTAGTAACTTTGTAGCGCTTTTTGCAAACGTCCACTTCAGCCAAAAGACCTGTCTGTTTTCAATCACTTTTCATTTAGTTGTATTTTTTTTTAATTTGGAGTAATCCAATTTTGTGTAGTTCATTGTGTAAAAACACTTTTGTAAAAAAAAGGTATATTAATAATTTTCGTTACAAAACCACACACGTTTGCATTTCATTTTAGTCTAATATAGTAATAGCACTGAGTGATGCACTAAAGTGATTTTATAGTTAATCAGGGTTTCAATTGTTTGTGTTACAAAAAAGAGTGAAGAGCACTTACAACTAGCCTAATTCAACCCATTGTAGTCCTTGTTTAAAGTGTCTGATAGGTCTTTGGCTGAAGTCATCTTTTTTACATTGGAAACTTTTTTTTACACGTAACGCATTATAATACTTTTTAAAGAACTGGTTATTTCCATTATTGGCTTTAATTTTGACTGTTTTAAAGGTTCAAAGATTGAGGGAGAATCATTAAAATTTTAACGATTCGAACTTCAACTAATCAGCTGTTCAGACTAATTTAATTTGTTAATTGGTGCAATTAAGTGTTTGGTACAATGTTTCGTTGCATCACTGTCAGTGGCAATGAGAGGTACAGGAAAACATAACCTCTTTTAAAAGTTGTGAGTACCGTAGTGGTTTTTAGTAATTAAAACACTGTCGTAGGTAAAGTAGTGTACGCAACTTGCGTAAAAGTGTTAACGCAATCGTTGCGTAAACTACTAATAAATATCGTAATAAAATATCTTAAATGCATAGAAGGGTCAATGTATCATGTTTTTTTATACACAACTAAGAATGTATCAAAAACCTCGTAAAAATTGCGTTCAGAGGAGAAAGCCCGTATTTCTAAGGTAGAAGTCAAATCTGAATTTCAAAGGAGCTAGGCAAAAAGATAAAACAATTTGAAATTTAAATACCTTTACATTTAGTGATGAACTTGAGATTCATTGTTAAGATTTATACGCTATATTTTTTTCCGAAATAACCTATTAATGTTATAACTTGCAGTAAAATCCGTTGTTACATCCATAAAACACATAGTAAAGGCCTCACACTTTGTGATAACATAGGTCGCAGTGAAATATATTGATTCATAGGCACTTACATCGAAACATAAAACATGTACAGTAGTAAAAGCCATAAAACGACACTTATGTGATAGCCGGGATTGTAGCAAATATATTGGTCTATAGCTACTTATATCGATACTTACAATACACTTAACCAATAAAGCAAAGTTCATGTGATATTGTCAATTGTAACGATATCAACTGTGTGAAGTTACTTTACTTAAATCTGAAATGGCGACCATATGAAGGTAGGTTTTTCAAGCCGAGTATGAATGGAGATGAATGTAGGATTCATAACACATATTTCATCGTCACATATAACATCTGTAAAGCTTTTCAAACAAAGCTTACGAATTGTTATAGGTTGTACATATCTGTTGATTCATTGCAACTTAATGCTATTCATTATATGGGATTCCCTTTAGTGCACAACTTACGTCCAGGTCGAAGGATTTACTATTATTTACTTTTAATTGCTTCAGTGACCTTTATAACGTTATTTATATATTTCCTTAATTATTTTAGATATTTTGAAATAATGACTTATCGCATGTTCTAGTTCGGTAACCATACATTCTCCCGTCTAGAAATTAATATTTTATTCATTTTGGCTATAGTTAGAAGCACTATGATAAATTCATAACGATACCAAGATAGTAGAGCGCGGGACTACTGCCTAGGCGGCTCCGGTTCAAATATTTTCAACCACTTATTCTAATTATGCTATAATGACGCAATCGTGTATCGTACACCTTAAGCCCTTTCAAGCAACGAAGGAAAAGCCTCTTAAGAATTATAACTGTCTTTAGAGATTGTAATCTATGAAAGTTTTACTGTAATTATGATCAAATAATTTCTGTATTGGTTAGCTACTACGTACCCATAATATTACGTATCAGTAAAACATAATACTGGCCGAACATCGCGTAGGCGTTACCCAAACTTTAATTGTAGTGCTAGTGCACTTTTTTGTAAGTAAAATATTACTTCGATTAGAAAATACTTAAAAAAAAGATTGGGCACTTTTTGAAATGATGGAATATTCCATAGGTAGCTCAAACAGGTCGATCCTGGAAATATTGAGACGTTGGATATTAAAATGACGTTAGTGATATACTACTTTATCTCCTATCTTCTTTCAGAATATAAATGTCGTTACTGTTGATCAAGGTGTGTTTAGCTTTAGAGAAAGTTCTGTTCACAAAGAAAAGAGTTTATTACAACAATCAAAAATACTTACACTATAACCATCTAATATTTTCTTCGGTTGGTTTTAACTCAAGTAATTTCAATACTATACACGAAACACGTCATATAAGTCGATGTTTTATGAACACTTTTAAAACGACATTGAAATCTAAACTGAAATGTAAGAAAAAAAAAATCATTACTTGATGATGTTTATAAATTCGAAGGTATTCTAAAATGAGTAGTTTTTATTACCATTTTAGTCAATTGTATTTTTATCGTTTGTTTTGCAAATGCGTAATACAGGAAACATATTCTTTATATATTTTTTATATTTAACACTAAAAGGCTTATTTCATTTAGTGTTAAACCACCTCAAACTCAAATAACATGCATTTGATATAGGAAAATTAGGGTTGTGTTATTCACACAAAAACTAAAAGAGATATGAAGTAAGTGTAAATTACAAAGTTGTTAAAAAATTAAAAAAAACCTATAAAATGATGTGCCACTTGATATATGTTGCTATTGAAAAATTTTTAACAATGAGC